TGGATTACAGGTTTCTCAGGTATGTCGGGGCTGCAGTCACAACACTGACTGCAGTGTGGGTATCTCCTCTGGGATAATTATACATGCGTCTGGAAGAGCATAACCCAGTATCAGTGTGATCTTGCATGTTGATCATGTAAATAAGCATTGTGATGTGGCTTGTATGTATGGCATAAATGCAACACCAAATTACTGCTCGATTTATCCTGCCCTGTGCACTTCAGGTATTGACATTTTTCTCTTTTCCTAGTGGCCTCTTCATAAGGCTGCAGACAGGTGTTGTATTTCTTCTGAGTCGAGACAAAGGCCTCTTGTCCCAGAACTCTTCTCTGTTTAAACCTGCCATAAAAGAAAGGATTCAATCCCTACAAAAATGAAGGAAATAATCAGTTTTAATTGCATTTATTCTTTTCTTTAAAAGAAAACTCTATTCTGTCTGTCTTGTGAACAGGCTCAGAGTCCGTACCTTCCCCACTATGGAGGAGTTGACGTGCATTTCACTGGCATGATTGACTGCTTTAGGCAAACGGTGAAGCACAGAGGTGTGCTTGGACTCTGGAGTGGACTCACGGCCAGCCTGCTCAAGGTAGGAATTGCCTTCAACCTATTTTCAGCCAGCTGAGACAAGCTAATGGGTGACTTGTGATCATCGTAACACATGTGATGCCATTCCTATTTATGCTGAGTAGCAAGTTTGTAACAGGAAAAGGAATCATGAAGCTACTGAGTACATCTTGGTCTTCCTCAAAGTTGCTGCTTCTCAAATTACACCATCCTCATCAATTTATTCCAGTCCATTTAGAAAAGGAGAGAGAGAATCTAGGGGAAACTACTAAACATAAAGACCCATATTCTCAGCTGGGGTAGATCAGCAGAGCTCTGCTGAACCAGCTCAGGACAAAGAAGAAAATCAACTCTACCATGTGCAAAATACCGCCGAGATTTCCTGTTAGGATTTAATTATTTAAAAAATCACTTTGAAGCAAAGTACCATGCAGGCCCATTTCCCCAAGACAGTACTATAATCAGGGGTGTGCTTAGCATTTCATGGAGCATTCTGCAGGCTCCAGACTGGGTTAATTAGTTTGTGGCCAGATTCTCAGGTAGGGTAAATCAGCATAACTCCACTGACTAGGAGACCAGATCAAGACATGGACACCCTAGCTTTCTGAGCTCTGAATAGGGAATCTTACTGGCAACTGTAAATTAATTGTTGATTTCTATCTGTATGGTTGTTTTTCCAGGTTGTCCCATACTTCGGTATTATGTTTAGCACCTTTGAATTCTGCAAGCGGGTCTGTCTCTACAGAAATGGTTATATTGAATCTCCGTTAAGCTACAAGCTCACTCCTGGAGTGGACCAAAGTTTACAGCCACAGGAACTGCAAGAATTAAAGCTGCTTCGAAGAGGAAACTTTGAGCCGAGGAAACTTCAAGCCAAGGAAACCCACTCTTGAAAACTGATCTGGGAAGCCCATGGCCTGGATGGTAGGCTAATATCATTCTGAATCAGCTCCACAATATTAAGGAAGTATAAGGTAAAGGAGGGTGTACTGAGCTACAGACACCAGCCCCTCACTGTGGTACTGAAACACCTGTGTCAGACATTCATGGGTGTTGTACTCGCGTAGGAAATGGACACAAGCTTACCTACAAAGGAAAGACACAAACGGTTTTGAACTACTACAGTACTGGAACTTAAAACCAACTCAGTGGAAGTGTTTTTAAATGTCAAATAGCTTTTTAATACTAAAGTCACTTGCAAAGAATGAGAGAGCTGAGAGATGAGCATGAATTGTAACTTAGTCCAAAAATCATTAGAGAATGGTAAATCTGTTTTTAAAATCCCAGTGCTCCTCGGGGCACTAGTGTCCAGAATGGTTACGAACAATAACTAGACTCCCTATCATGTGAGCGTCTTGACTGAAATCTGTCCGTCTGAGATCCCATGTGGATGTGGCATTCTGAAGCTGCAGCTCTGTTCCTGCACAATTCACACCTCTGCTAATCCTCCCAGTTCTTATTTTCAGCTTTTTGTAAAAGTTGCTTGAAAACAGTTGAATTTTCTAGGAGTCCCTCTTGCAAACAAAGAGGAAATACTCTGCAGCTGTGCTCTTACCGAGAAAGAATCATCGTGTGTGAGGTGCGCTGAACTGACAATCTAACAAACCTAAGTGCATGTTAAAATATCTTCTCACTCCCTTATCCCCCTAGAATGCCACTCCCTGTACCTGAATCACTGAAAAAAGCAGCACTGTTTGTATGTTTTAATATTTGCTTTAACTACTGAATATTGCCTGAGAAATGCAGCTACCACATGGCTTAGCTATGTCAGAGCTAACATCCTATCAATGTTTTGTCAGTATTTTAAGCCGTATTTTATATTAAATTAATATTTTGGAATAAAAGATATGATCAGATGTTGAATCCTGTGCTATATAATATTTGCCCACTGCAACCTGAGATTTGAGTAGCATAATCCCTTTTGACTCTTGTGATCTCAATCAAAATGTTTCCATGCTTCCTCTAGTTTCTTTCCTTTCTCATGTCCTTGTGGCAAGGTATTTAGCAGAATTTGCAGATTCACTGGAATCTGACATGGCTGCACCATTAGCACTTGTGTGATGGTCTCAAGCTTTTGACCTCTGGACTTCCAATCGCTTGCCCCAGTATCCCTGCTAGCAGAGCGGGCTTTCTCCTAGATATGAAACTGGAATGCTGCACTGGAAGGACCAGTTTTCTGGTAGCATAAATGTCACTAGTAGGCCTCAGGTGAGCAAGGAATAGTGCATGGGATCCAGCTTTCTTGGACGCTGAAAGCTGATCCTGATTTTCCTGGGAGAAGTGCAAAGCTTCTCTGTGCATTGGTGAGGCATCCAATTGTAGCTGGCACAGAGTACCTGAAATCAGGCACCCCACTGCCTTTGTGGAACGTTCAGGCAAAGCGTGCTAGGAAAAAATAGAGCTTGCCCATGGAAATTTATAGCAGAAGGCAGCATCAGAATTCAGTCTTATATTCAAGGAATGAAGCTTTTGAGAGCAGGAATAATAGTGGCCTTGTAGTATACTGTCACAGGGCACTAAGCCGCCTGCTTCTTTAAGGGCAGAATCTGCCTAGAGAGAGGGCCCTAGGAGCCAGGCAGAAACTCCACCAGATGCAGCAGGGTAAAGAGGGAATTAGCCTGCACCTGGTCAGCTGACGGGAAGAAGGCAGGGCCCTGGGCACATATAAAACCCAGGGCTAAGACCAGCAGGGGTTAGTTCTCTGACAGCAGCCAAGGGAAGAAGTCTGCAGAGAAGAATTGCCCAGAGACACTGCGGCTGCTTGGTATGCTGTTCACAGAACTAATGTGGCTCCCGGAGCTCACCAGGTACCCTAGGCTACAAGGTACTTCATGCTTGGGGGGAAGTTTGCCTCTTTTAAAGGGACAGAGTGCACCCTGGACTGTTTGTATTACATTATAGCCCAGGGGCTTGTGCTTTCTGTTGTTATTTAGACTGGTGGATCAGGCTGAGGCTACTGGGGAGGAGGAGCCCTCATTGGGGCACACTACGCTGCGGGGAGCCCAGCACCAGTGAGGGCACAGGGACAGGGCTCCAGGGAGCCCAGTGACGAAGGAAGGCTGAGTTATATCAAGGTCTCAGAGGGACAATATTTGAATACCATCTGTGAGGCATGGGGAGTGATAAAGGGGCGGTTTTGGAGTTGCACATCTAGCCCATAAGGCTTGGGGTGTCCTGTGAGGCACTTCCTTAGCAAGGGGTCTAAGAACCCACACAGCTTAGTGGGGTCCACCAGGACCATGACCACATAGCACCTTGAAGGCAGCTTCCCTATCTAACATATATTATCTTAACCATCAAGATGTGGTTAAGACCCCTATAGACCACCAGCCCAGGCGGATGAAGTGGATGAGGCTTTCTTTAAACAGCTAATGGAAGTTTCTAGATCACAGGCACTGGTTCTCATGGGGGATTTCAATCATCCTGACATCTGCTGGGAAATACAGCAGTGCGCAGGCACGCCAGGAAGTTCTTGGAGAGTGCTGGGGACAATGCCCTGGTGCAAGTGCTGGAGAGGCCAACTAGGGGCCATGCTCTTCTTGCCCTACTGCTCACAAATAGGGAAGAATTGGTGAGCAGTGTAGAAGCGGGTGGCAACGTGGGCAGTAGTGACCAGGAGATGACTGTGTTCAGGATCCTGAAGGAAGGAAGGAGAACAGCAGAATACGGACCCTGGACTTCAGAAAAGCAGGCTTCAACTCGCTCGGGGAACTGACGGGCAGGATCCCCTGGGAGGCCAGTCTGAGGGAGCTGGCTGTACTTCAAAGAAACCTGAGGAATGAAGCATCCTGATGTGCAGGAAGACTAGCAAGTATATAGCAGAAGACCAGCTTGTCTTAGCAGAGAATTCTTCAGTGATCTACAACACAAAAAGGAAGCTTGCAAGAAGTAGAAACTTGGACAGATGACTAGGGAGGATTATAAGAGTATTGCTAAGAAAGGCCAAAGTGCAACTGGAGTTGCAGCTAGCAAGTGACATGAAGGATAACAAGAAAGATTTCTACAAGTATGTCAGCAACAAGAGGAAAATCAGGGAGAGCATGAGTCCCTAACTGTATGTGGGAGGCAACCTAGTAGCAGATGATGCAGGCAAGGCTGAAGTACTCAATCCCCTTTTTATCTCAGTCTTCACAAGCAAGGTCAGCTCCTACACTACTGTTCTTTTCTAGTCCTACACTTAGGACAAAACAATCCCATGCACCAGTACAGGCTGGGGACCGACTGGCTAAGCAGCAGGTCTACAGAAAAGGATCTGGGGGTTACAGTGGACAATAAGCTGAACATGAGCCAGCAGTGTGCCCTTGTTGCCAAGAAGGCTAACGGCATACTGGGCTGCATTAATAGGATTGTTGCCAGCAGATCAAGGGAAGTAATTATTTTCCTCTATTCAGCCCTGGTGAGGTCACATCTGGAGTACTATGTCCAGTTTTGGGTCCCCCATTACAGAAAGGATGTGGGCAAACTGGGAATAGTTCAGTGGAGGGCAACAGAAATGGTTCGGGGGCTGGGAGACATGACTTCTGAGGAGAGGCTGAGGGAACTGGGCTTATTTAGTTTAGAGAAGAGAAGACTGATGGGGGATTCAATAGCAGCCTTCAACTTCCTGAAGAATGGTTCCAAAGAGGAGGGAGCTGGACTGTTCTCAGTGGTGGCAGATGACAGAACAAGGAGCAATGATCTCAAGTTGCAGCAACGGAAGCGTACGTTACATCTTAGGAAAAACTTTCTCCCTAGGAGGGTAGAAAAGCACTGCAACAGGTTACCCAGAGAGGTGGTGGTATCTCCATCCTCAGAGGTTTTTAAGACAAGGATAAAGCTTTGGCTGGGATGATCTAGTTGGGGATGGTCCTGCTTTGAGCAGGAGGTTAGACTAGATGGCCTCCCGAACCTAATTTTCTATGATTCTATGGGCAGGAAATATGGGCATGGCCACAAGGCGCACTCATTCCTAATTCTCAATGTGGGCATACCTTTTGACTGGTATCTCACAGAACTTCTGTAATATAGGGGAGTATTACTGAGCCCCTGTTGCATATGCATAAAGACAGGACCAAGATCAGCCTTGAGGTAAGCTCATGCATGGGCTAGAATTTGAGAGAACTGGACTGAGCTAAGCTGGGATTTCAGAGACCTGGCTGGAGGAGCCCAGACTCGAATTTATACCTGTTACTTCCCTACCCTCCAGATAGTCTCACAGGCTGTGCCACTTCCCTTGTTTTAGAAGGGCAGATTTCTTCTTTACAGTATTATGCCTGCAGTGTCTAACATAGGGATACGGGACACAAAGCAGAAGAGGCAGCCTGCCCATAACAGAGCCAGTAAAGATGGAAGGAAGGGACAGGGAAGTGGGCCTAGCCCTTTTAAGGCCAGAACATTTTGGGCCAGCAGGGGCCTAAGGCCAGAAAAGGAGCCGAGGGAAGGTATAGCAGCTAGCTTCCACACTAGCGCCAGCATGTAAGAAACTCCAGCCAGGTGAGGCTGAGTAGGGTACATGACCAAAATGTGGTGGGGCTAGGAGAGATATAAATTCCCCCCAAGGAGAGAGAGGGATCTGTCAAGCCCTGACTGTAGAGAAGGCTGTATTGTCCCTGACAGCTGGAGGGAAGGCCTTGGTGGACACTCTAAGTAGCCTCAGAGAGGGAGGGAGTTTCAATTACGATTTTTCTTTCTTCCTTGTTTGTTTGAACATTGGGTCCATGAAACAAAACCCTGAGTTAAGACTGTATCCACGAGGCAGGGAGGAACCTGAGATTAAAAAGAAAAACATTCAGTGGACCAGGGGTGGCTGTAAGGGGAGATGTGGAAGCCGCATGACAAGGT